TAATAATAATAATAATAAAATTGTTGACGATGATCTTGAGAAGAAGAAGAAGAAAAAGAAGAAGAAGGAGGAGGAGGAAGAGGAGGAGGAGGAGGAGGAGAGGATGGGGAGGAGAAAAACCTTAAAAAAGAATTGATTATAAAGTCTTCTAACTGAATTAGTACTAGCGACAGAACATCTGACATGAGTGTACATAACAGAATTCCAGACATTGGAACATGTAACAGAAATTCGGACACATGTATACTACCTCTGACGCTAGTACATATAACAGAACTTCTAACATTAGTACACGTAACAGAACTTCTGACGTTAGTACATATAAAAGCACTTCTGACATTAGTACATATAAAAGCACTTCTGACATTAGTACATGTAACAGAACTTCTGAAATTAGTACATGTAACAGAACTTCTGACATTAGTACATATAAAAGCACTTCTGACATTAGTACATATAAAAGCACTTCTGACATTAGTACATATAAAAGCACATCTGACATTAGTACATATAACAGAACTTCTGAAATGAGTACATGTGACAGAACTTCTGACAATTAATTTGACTTGTGCACGCAACACAACTTTTGACATTTGCCCATGTAACAGAATTTCTGACATCATAACTCGTACCAGATTTTCTGACATTAATTAATAAACAGAACAGAAATTCTGACCTGATGCTGCTCGTACAGATTGACTTCCTTCACCAGTATCGGGTGTCTGTTCACCGACTTCGAAACGTGCTCCATGATGGTTTCTATCATAAAGGACGCTGGGACGGAACCTATGGGTTGGGGGGGGGGGGTTGTTTGTTCGATTGTGCATTTGTTTTTTGGAGGAGAAGGGAGGAAAACAGTGGATTTGATGGTGGTGGAGGTGGAGGAAATAGGAGAGTGTATTGGGATTTCGGGGGTTGGAGGAGGGGTGGAGTGCCAGGTGAATTTGGGGGTTGGCGGTGGATAGGGAGAGAGTAGGTGTGAGGAGGGAATACATTGCATAGGGAGGGAGTGGAATGGGGTAGGGGTATAAAGAAGAGGGGGAGAGGGAGAGGGGATGGGGAAGGAGCACAAGTTAATTACGGAATAATAAACTACTATCAAGCCCACACACACATAAAGATACTCACAGTTACGTACATTTACATACTATAAACAACACATTAATATGAACAAAGCTACACACACACACACACACAGACACACACACACACACACA